GTCGTCAACAGGTTCCAGCACGCCAAAACTCAGGGGGAGGCGTTTGAGTGATATCTCCCCCGCCAGTCAGACTCCAGGACCGCGACGGCTCAGGAAAGGCGGACGCAGCCTTCGTCCAGCACCTACCGCCGCAGCCAGAAGCAGAGCTTCACTGGATCCCCCTCAACCAACCTGGGACGCAAGACGGTGCTCTCGCCCACAGCCCCCCGAGAAGACGGATCTGAGGACCGTCATTCAGTCTCTTCCTCCCCCTCCCTGCCCCCCTTTCCCCGAGAGAGGCCGATCGAGGTCCCGTCTCTTGTGGTGGCTCCAGCAACAGATGTTGTTTCTCCCACCGCTTCAGCGCTCGGGACGCGCTAGCCACCAGCAGGCCCTCGCCGGTCTGTCCGCCCCGAGGGGCGGCAGCCGGAACACGACTGGGCTCACAAACCGTGGTTGGAGTTTTCCCTGGCGGTCCTCCGCTTCAGGGCGCCACCGGGGATTACCGCGGGACACCGGCCACCAGCCCCGAGGGTTGGGACAGGAAGTCCACTCTCTGTTAAGGAAAGGGTCCATAGAACTAATTTCCCCGTTGCGTCCAATTTTGGATCTGCGGTCCCTGAACCAATCTCTGAGGAGATTCAGGTTCAGGATGCTTACCATCCCCGCCATCATCAGTCAAATTCAATCCGAGGATTGGTTTGTCACAATAGATCTGCAAGACGCTTATTTCCACATCTATATCCGTCCCTCTCACAGGAAGTTCCTGAGGTTCGCCTTCAGGGGCACGGCTTACCAGTATCAAGTTCTTCCGTTTGGCCTAGCACTATCTCCCCGCACATTCACCAAATGCATGGATGCAGCTCTGGCCCCGTTGAGGCTCCAGGGCATCCGCATACTGAACTACATCGACGACCTGGCTCGTCCTGGCCCAGTCTCGAGAGTTAGCGGTTCGACATTGAGATGCCGTCCTCGCCCACCTTCATCGTTTGGGGCTGCAGCTCAACGCAAAGAAGAGCGTGCTGATGCCCACCCAACGGACTACGTTCCTAGGGGTGGTGTGGGACTCAACGACGATGCGGGCCCACCTGTCTTCCGCACTCGTCGAGTCCATTTTGTCCACAGTGACCGGAGTGCAGTTAGGCCACGCCATCACTGTAAAACACTTTCAGAGGGTGTTGGGTCTCCAGGCAGCAGCGTCCAGTATAATACCCTGCAGTGGTGGCTAAAATCCAAGGGATTCTCCCCGAGGGGAAATCCGCTCCGTCTGATACGGGTTACGAGCGGGTGCCATCGTTCCCTGTCTGTATGGAGGAAATCTTGGTTTCTGTCCCAAGGTCCCATGTTGGGAGCGATCTGTTGCCGAACAATTATTCGACAGATGCCTCACTCACGGGATGGGGCACGGTCATGGACGCCCGCTTCGCGAGAGGCTCCTGGGAGGAGCATCATTTCTCTTGGCACATAAATTGCCTGGAAATGTTGGCAGTCTGCGCTCGCGCTCATTATGCAAACTGGCACATCAGATCCTCCTGTGGTCCCAGCAGAGACTGCTGTCCCTCAGAGCGATGTACATCCCTGGGACCCAGAATCAAGGAGCAGACCTGCTGTCGAGACAGGGGCTGAGGCCCGGGGAATGGAGACTCCACCCCGAGGTGGTGGAGTTATTATGCAGAGTTCGGACCCATAGACGTGGACTTGTTTGCGTCCCAAGAGACGGCGCACTGTCCCCTGTGGTTCTCCCTCTTGCCCCCAGCCCCGCTAGGGCTGGATGCCATGGCGCAGACGTGGCCAAGGCTGCGTCTGTATGCGTTTCCCCCAGTCGCTCTGCTCCCCGGGGTTCTGGAGCGGGTCCGCCAGGACGGCGTCAGTCTACTACTAGTAGCCCTGTTTTGGGGCTACTACTAGTAGTAGTAGCCACTAAAGTGTTCACCACCTGGTGCAGAGAACGGGCGGTGGACCCAGTTACCTGCTCGGTAATTGTGATACTGGAGTTCCTCCAGGACCGTTTCTCCGCTGGCCTCTTGCAGCATTCCACGCCCCTCTGAGTGGTGGGCCCTTGTGGAGGCTTCCACTGGTCGTGCACTTCCTCCATGGAGCCAGGAGGATGAGACCCGCGACTTGTTCCAGGGTTCCCACCTGGGACCTGGCAGTGGTTGTTGAAGCACTGGCTGAGGCCCCCTTCGAACCCCTGGAGTGGGGGATCTCCAGGCACTTTCGATTTCTCCCCGATGCCTGGAGTTTGCCCTGGGGAGGGTCAGGGCCATCCTGCACCCTTGTCCAGGTTATGTCCCTAAGGTTCCGGCCAGACTGGCAGGGTCCACGGTGCTGCAGGCATTTCATCCCCCACCTCATGTGACGGCGGAGGACGGGAGACTTCATCTGCTCTGCCCTTCTCAGAGCACTACTATATATATATATATTATATACTAGTATTTACACTCTGAGGTCTTCCCGGTGGAGGAAAGCAGACCAGTTGCTGGTGTGTTTCGGGTCCCCCAAGGCTGGGCTCCCCGCTTCTAAACACACCATCAGCAACTGGATCGTTCAGACTATTTCCCTGGCCTATCAGGTGCGCGGTTTGCCTTCACCTATGTAGTTTCATTCATAGTTTAGCCCTGCCATGCCAAGAGGCGTTCCCATAGTGTTGTCACCGACGCAGTGTCTCGTTCCCCTTCTCGGGGAACAAGGGTTACATACGTAACCCGAGATGTTCTGCAGCTTGTGTGTCACTCTCTCTGTAAAATGTTGTGAGCAATGCAGGTGTTTTAGATGCTGTTTACTCTTTTTCCCACCGACCAAGAATGTAATAATTAAGTCATACTTACGTTAAGTGTTGAATGAGGAAAAGTATGCATGTTATGTTATACTGACAAACAGGACGCTTTTCCTTCCATCATCCTTTATGTCAACAAGTCATTCAAAATAAATATAGAAAATTAAATGTATAAGTAATGCAGCCTGTGGGACAGCTGAAACACTATATATTATTGCTTTCCATCTCAGTGTCACTGCTCACTTCCATGCAACAAATGACAAATATCGTGGGAACATTGTGGTTCTTTCCACAATCTGAAATAAAATCAAATCATATAAACACACCTATGTCTGAATGACATGAAAAATCAATTCCAGCAACAGATAGTTGAAGCCAGCAATGTTACATATTCATGTCTGAAAAGACTATCGAGTTACATGGAATGATAGGACAATAAACATCTCACCTTAAATGTAAACTCACCTAGCCATATTACAAGTTTCACCTGCTAAAATGTTATAACCAGTTTGGATTTACTTTGACAAACTGTCATGTGATGTTGCCATGTTCTAAAAAAGCAATTAATCACTGTTATCATACCCTTCTATCTCTTTGTAACAGCTCTTTCATTTGCTCGTTTTTACTGGAGATTCAGAAATTGGAGAGCTGCAGCTAGTGACTTCATTTGCTGTAGGTGACAGTTATAATTATACTAGTCTATTTTCTAAATAATTTTTTTTATATATATCAAACAGACTGGACCTCTATAACCTTTGCAAGTCTTGTCTGACGCTGGCACTGGATGTTTTTTTCTGACTTCAACTGTTCAAATTTCAACCCTTGAAATTTCAGTCCAACTAGGTGACAGAGAATCTTTTGCCCATCAACACAAATAACAATCAGCTGTGAGGTTTGTCTTACTCATCATGTCAGTTATAGAGGTGCAGGCTATAATTTGATAATTTGTGCTTACTGAGGAACCACTGGAAATAAAAGACAGTGTTTTTTGTCCAGATACTTTCTACTCAATCCTTAAAACTGGTACAATGCAAATACACTGCCATGATAGCAATGTAAATGCGGTTCTGCTGCTTTTGTTTCGATGACTTGATGAGCTTGTGTGTCACTCTGTCACGCATGTTACGTTGTATTGACGAACAGGACACTTTTTCCTCCATCATCCTTTATGTCGACAAGTCATTCAAAATTAATGTCAACAATTAAGATAAACTTCCATTTGGAAGAATAATGACTGAATTATTTAATAATGAATAATTAATACCTAAATAATGAATACATAAAGACTGATACGGAGAGATTATCTGGACAAGAAGAAACATCTTTTCTTTTGTTTAGGAACATGCACAGTATGTGGTATGCTGCAATGATTGGTCTTACTTTGGAACATTAAAGTCAACTGTTGGAAGTCAATACTGTATATGCGGTATTACTGTATGGTAATACCATGTGTGATGGACTACTTCTCTTGAAAAACACAAAAAATAATAATTTCATTAATTCCTTAACAACCATATTTTGATAGTTCCAGATTCACAGCTTAAGCAATATACACTCATACAACAAAGTTCCCAGGAGTGTGACCACCGCAAAGCCACAACAGCATCCCATCAGTATTCTGGAAATCTGAGAGCACAACCAGTGTTTGAAATGCCATAACAATGACATCAATTCTATCTGAAACATCATTTCTCTAATCTTCACTTCTTTGAGACCACATCCATCTGTATACGTTCAAACATCCTATTTTTACCCATGACCTCTATTACTAAGGCTAAATGCAGTTTCTGCTGTATCACCTACAGTAAAATCTCTAAAGTCAGACCCGTAAAACAAGACATCATGCTCTTGCTTTCTACAGCAGCAGAGGGGGAAAGTATTACTGTAACAGGAGTGTACTTTATTAATGCCAATAAAAACCCCTGGATCATTAGTAAAGGGCCGCAGGAGTGGGAAATTATACAAACCTTTATGTCTTGTCACTTTACTCACTCTCTCTCATACATGCGGCAGTTCAAAGAAATCATTTGCTAGGCATTTTCTGGTACAAGATAATAAAAAACCACAGGGTCAACAAGGACACATAGTTTTGATCAACTGGAAATAAAGAGCTGAGATTAGAGAACAAGCAAAGAAACTCACATTATCACACAGTATGTCAGTGTACAGTATGCCTTTGCTTTTATGTGTGAGTCTCTGGTCCCTCAGTAGTGTTTGGGAGCCCCCGCAGGGCCCCAGTACTCACCCAGAAATACATCATCATCTCGGCTGAGAGGTGATGGGAGGCCAGGGTGTGGAAGACGGGGGTTTGCAAGGCCGCTCTTCCTCTTTTTGTTTCTCTCTCTTGGTGTGTTTGTCAGTACGTCCTGCACTGATCTTTTTTGGAAGACGTTTTTTTTGACAGCGCTGTCTGCCCAGTGTTATCTGGTGACCAGCTAATTTCCTCTGTCTTTATGGTTTCGTAGATGTAGCTAGAGTTATAGAGTCCCTTTTATGTGTCCCTTTGCCCCAGAAGACATTCGGTCTTCCTCTCCCGCTGACTCTTCTGAAGCGTGACTTCGTCTCTTAAGAGTCGCCACTAAGGATCTCACGCTGCTTCTCATCCCCCTGATCCTTTCAAAAAACTCTTCCCCTGCTTCTTCAACGAAAGGGGAAAAAAAGAGTAAAGAGTAAAGAGAGAAGCAACCAGGAGAGAAAGTGCTGCGAGGCGTTACTGTACCTCCCTTTGCTTTTTGTTCTCTACTTCACTTCTTCTCCTGCCTCTTCTTCCTCCTCTTCTCCAACCTGACACTCTTTCCTGCCCACTCAGCTCTTCCTGCCTCCTCTTTTTCTCTTTCTTTGCTCACTGTAAACTATACTGCTCTCTATTTCACTGACATATACGGAAGCCTGTGTTCTCCTAGTCTGAGCGCACTCTCTGCCTTTGCTTTTCTTCGCCTCTTCTTACGGGTAGCTCCAGTCCAGCAGCTGTGTTTTGAGGGGAGGCAAATCTGAGATGGACTTTCTTCTACAGCGTTCCTGGGTGAAGAGTGCTGGAGAGGCTGGGGGTGGGAAAAGCTAGAGATCACCACATGGTACAGTAGCACAGATGCTTTCAATCGGGTAGAGACAAGTGCAGAGAGGAAGGAGTGGGGAGGAAGGAGTGTGTGTGTGTGTGTGTGTGGGGGGGGGGGTTGCAGATGCACGCTAGGATGTGGAAGACGGTGACAGGCTGAATAGAAGTTGTGGGAAAACTGGATGGAGGAGCTGGAAAGAGGGAGGCGAGATGAAAGAGAGACGAAAAGAGATACACAAAGCTGGGAGAAAGGAGAGAAAGAGGGAGCAGCTTGGCTTGTTGTTGCGTATGCTAAAGAGCCAACAATACCAGCCGGTTTCATTAAGTTGCAGTGGGAGCATCGGGGAGGAGGAGGTTTTGCGGTTCGGTGGTGGTGCGCGTGGGGGTAAGAGGCTAGAGAGCCGTCAAAACAAAATACAATTTAGAGCGCTTGTGTAACCTAAGAAGTAGAGGAGGAAGAGAAGAGAAAGAGATGAAAACAGTTACACTGGAGCTGCTGCCTCTCTTCTTCTTGTTCTTTTGTTCTCTCTGTTTTTCCTTCTCGGCAGAGGGAGGGCTGGTGTGTGCTCGTGTTAATGTGTAGATGTGTATGGATGTATGTGCAGTATACATATGTGTGTGTGCAGTGTAAAGCAATACGTGTTTTGCATGTTCACTCTGTAAAATTAGTTTACAAATTACTTCTATGTCACACACACACACACACACACACTGACCACTAATAATGTGTTTTATACGACTTTGCATCTGCATGATCATACACAGGTATAACTTGTGTGTGCCTGTTTATATTTGATGGGTTTGCAATATGGCTGGGTGAGAGACAGGCAGAAAGAGAGAGAGAGGTGTTGTAGCCTGCCTCAGCACATTTAGCCCCCAACCACCACCAGCACAGTCAATACACAACTCAGTCAAGCTGCCATGTTAACCTCTTCACTGCCTGAAATTCTGCACTAACACACACTGGGAATACTGGAAAATGTGTTAGCATCACACTGCACTGATGTCAGACTCAATTTCTTTCTTTTTTCCCCCAAAGTTGAGAAATACAAAAAAAACAACCCATCTTGTTAGGAAATCATAAATACTCAAGCGATTAATCACATGTTTTTCATACTGGCTGCATACAAAACAAAGACATAATTGACAGATATATTCGCAGATATAAATGACATCTAAATAATCTTAGAATATAGTTTGTCAGTTGAACTGAACTCAAAGTTTCTCTCATGCCAGGTCAAAAACAGTTCCAGTAGGTGCAGAGGGCTGTTGGCATAAAGACACATTTATGTATTGGACTGTTTATCTGCAGCTCAGTGCTAAACATATGTCTATGTCATAAATGCAAAGAGGAAGTCTTGTTTTGTCTTTGTTGAAGCATAAAGTGGTGCATTCATTCTCAACAAATCCCATGTGCAGACCCAAAACCAACACTGAATGCATCCTACTAACAAGCATTGTGTGTGTTTCCAAAACCTGATATATCTTATTCCTCTGTAATACAGAGCTCCTTATGTTCCAAAGATTATTAAAAGCACATCAATGCGCCACATTGTTGCACTGGGTGACATGTTCCTTCATTACCATTAACACACACTGTACTTTATTTTGACTCAATCCCACATAAACCGTACTGCTGCCCCCCAAAAAATAACCATACAACTTATAAACTATTATTATTTTGCAGTAATTACCTTAAATAATAAAAATACGGAAACGTAACTACAAGTCAAATCAGAATCTTCATCACAGCAAATGAAAGACATTGGTGAGGTGAGTCAGAAAACGTAGTATACAGATGTATGACGGTGGATTCTGAAGTCTACAGGGCTGATTCAGAGAGATGAAGTATATCAGAAGCTCGTTTTTAACTCTTCCACTTCAAATGTAGAACAACTTATTGTTAGATCTGCATTGGGCTAATACATGCCATATTAAATTTGCATCAAACACTTTCAGTGTAGTGAGTTTATGGGGGGGGGGTTGTTCAATAAAGTTTTTGGAAGGTTACGTGCCTCATTTAATCATCAAATAAAACATTTTAACATTCATTTCTAAAACACTGGTATTTTTATTTTTCTAAACAACGCCATCGCCTCAGCACTGCATTAATTTTTACACTTCAGGTTAACTGGGTTGGATTTGAACAGGAATCTGCTGAACTGATTTAAGGCACAAAAGCTCATGTCTCAAGTTTGACATATCAACACTTACCAGTGTAAACAAATAATGACTTGATTCTCAGTTAATACAGATTATAAAAATATTTTTTTTTACAGCCATTTGTCCTGAAATTGTTCTTTAAGACTTGAAGAAATTAGGCCATTTACATACATGTATGCATACCTGGTGCAGCCTCAACTCTCACTCTCCTTCACTCCTCCCTCTGAGATGACCTAGACTGGCTTTTCTCTATTTTCCCTAGCAACTACCATTCAAAAGAGAACATTTTCCTATCAAATCCTGGCTTCATGCTTTTTCAGGTCTGGGTCATGAATAAGTTAGTCCAGACTCTGCTTGTGAGTGAACTAATCCAAAGACGACAGACTGGTGGGTTTTGTCAGGGTCTAGGAGGAGAGGAGCAACATTATGTCAGTCAGCTTTCTCCTTGATGTGTGCATCCCGTACTCATGCTCGAGGTGACAAACTTCAAGGGAATAATTAATTAAGCCAACCCAAAAGTCTTTATCCAAATGAACTGCTTATACTTCACCTATAAAGCATCAGTAAATGATGTATTAACCATTAATGAAGCCATCATAAACATTTTATTAAAAGTGCCTTTTTGGAAAACTGTGCCGCTCAAGAAGAGGACAATCCATGCACTAAAGATGTCCTATATTTAACATGTTGTTCTCTTCTTGGTCAACTTAATGTTTAACACTCCCCAAAATACACTGAGTCGTATTTACTAAGAAAATGTTAGGCAAATGTGCTGTGTGGTTTTTAGTCTGCATGTAATTAGCTCATTGTGCAGTCAGCTCCTGGACTGCACCTGGGATGCCCTCCGGATGCATTATGCCAGGGATGAGCGCTCATGGGCACAGTTCATAAGTGGCATTTGTATGAGATCACTAAGAGCTGAGAAAAGACTAAGAAAAAATATTTGGCAATTACAAGATGAAAACCAAATGAAGTGAGCAGCTGCTCAGAGTGGAGCAAGTGAATGTGGAGATGGGCTTGATATGGATGTCATACTGACGTAAATGCAGCGGGTTTCAAACTGAAGAAAGAATAATTTAGTTGGCGCCTGTGGTGTCACAGTTCATTGACAGTCATGTGACTCTCTGTCACTAATTAATAAAAGTCCAACTGCTTAAATTTTCTTTTGAAAGGATTGTTTTTTATTACGTATAGGCCTATATTTAATGCACATTTCTTTCCCCCACCAAAACGTTGCTGTGGCTTGTGTAAATCCCATCTAAAAAAGTTCTAAAGTTTTAAAAGTTCATGCTAACCATTGTTACCTAAATTATTACCTAAAAAAGCATTCTCTGTCTGAACACGATGCATGCCTGCAGTGACAGCGCTCCTGATATCTGTTATATAACATTATCATGATTACTGAGACTCTACAGATTCCAGCAATATAACTTATATCACTGTATGACCAAAACTAATATACATAAAGCTCCAAATTACCTTTTGCCATTTCTTTAATCAAAAGTTGTGTCTGGTAACATAAAGCTGCTAGTAATTACTACTCTAGTGTCTGGCAGCCATGTTGGATTTATTTAAACTGAGTTGCATTCATTTGAATTGCATTGGAAAGAACTGCAGTTGCCGAAATGTTCCATTCAAAGACATTGTCTTTGTATCCTCTTGTGGCTTGTAATACTGACATAAACAAGCCTAATACCGATAGAGAGCAGACCTCCAGCAGCATTATACAGTGCGCGATCAAGTTACGCTTACGCGTCGGAATACGAAAATATTCAAAATTTATTGATTTTTGGACTGCTGGTTTTGACCTTTTCCTGCCTCACCTTGCTGTAAGGCTGTGTACATTTTTATTTCATTATTAAAAACAATTTTCATTTTCAGTTGAAAATGAACCTGCCCTGCCCCCGGTGTCTGCACCTGGGCCCAATCCCTTGTGTTCCTGTTCCCCACTTGAACTACTTATGACAGTTTTATCTGGCCAGACATGGATCCAGACGTTAAATCTCTTTTGGAGGAGCTTAAAGAGGTGAGCTCGATTATGGTGTGTTCTCACAGAAAGCAAAGCAAATTTTCATGCTTGTTTTCTTAATGGCGTTCGGATCAATCAGGGCTATGCTATGCTAACTTGTTTTATAGTAAAGAACAACCAATAGCTGGAATCAAGTACCAGACACATATCAGAACCAGGGAGTTCATCTTACTCATTCGGAATCTCTTTTTTGTTTGTCTGTACAATATATGAAGTAGTATCTTAGAGCTCTGGGTGCCACAGACATTTTAATCCCAAAAGTAAATGGCGGTAAACGGCTCCGGATCAGAGCACAATCCGGTGCAACTGGGGGTGTCCCTCCGGTACAAATGCACAATAAACCTTTACCCTTTTTTTTCAACCAACAAAATGAAAAAAGCATTTCCAGTTCAGGTCATCAACTAATTGCCTTATTAACTAAAAGCCTTATTAATGCTCTACCTGTGATATGTCTATCTAGATGTCTGTGAAAGGTTGGAAATCCATCTTGTGCTATTCTGCTAATTTGCTTAAATTCTACTGACCTTAAAAAGGAAATTTGTTGTCAAAACAGAATCCTTGCACAGTGAGATGAGGTACTGGAAGAAATGGGATTCCTTTAAGCGAAGGGGTCTGAGTTGCACTGCTTGAGGCTTTGCTGCAGCCTTTTGTTGCCTCTGAATAACTAAACTGGTATATCAGATAAACAGCAGCTCTGGCAGTAGATCCAGAAAGGCTGCTGTAAGTATTCTGTACAGCACTCAGCTACTCAGTA